CCAGTATTTTCGCCCCTTCCCAAAATTACTTCAATGGAAGGTTTCCAGATGGATATGCGGAGCAAATCCATCTGGCGGAGTCAGGTTAGCTACAAGTAGCTTTAGCTTGACATTTTTTTTCCAATGTAACAATGAGTTTGAAAACCTGTGGAATAATAAATAATAATAAAACTTTTAAAATATGAGAAACTACTGAGCACCATGAATGATTTTAAAGGGTCTGACAGAGAGGAGCTGCATTAGATAAATCCACGTTTATGTGTGTTACATCTTTGTGGCTGTCTCTCGTGAAATGCCAGCACGCCCCTCCCTTCCGTTTTCCCCCACAGGTAGCTTCAAAGAGGTCAGTCTTTGCACTACTATGTGGCATTTAGAGCTGTTGTCTCTCCTCCCTTGTTCTCTACTTAAAATCCAAGTCCCATCACTTAACTTCAAAGAAAATTATTCAAATTAACCAGCACACCTCCGTTATCATGTCCCTTTAAACTCAGACAAGAAATCCTTATCAAATTAATTTTACAGTGCGGAGTACAACCAGTGCTTTGAGATAAAAAGTAATTCAAGGAAACGCTTTGTGCTTTCTGGAAAGCCTTTAGAATTGAACTCTCTTCACACCTTTTAGCAGAAATATAGGCATTATATAATGCCTTAAACAATTCAATTGGAACACAAACATTTTCTGTAGAATGCCAGTATAAAAAAAAAAACAAAACAAAAAAAACACATTTAATCAGATGCTCATGAAGCCCTTGGCTTGATCAGTTTCATTAATGGCCTACCCATTTCTGAAAGCCTCATTAAAACCCTTTCATTTCATGTCTTCACATGAGATGAAGGCTCAAATGGCCCCAGGAAAACCTCCGTCCCTCATTTCAGCCAGCCTTGTAAATGCAGAGACACATTGGAGAGGAATCAGAAAGCCATTTGGTTTACCAGTCAAACAAGACTGTCAGGGCTCCAACAGCTTAAAGCTATCTATGCCCAAAAGAGAAGGAGTTAAATCTACTTAATAATGATAATTCCTTCATATTCTGCATGCAATGTCTGCACTCATTTCACTGTAAGCAATTAAACCACAACCAGATGGCCAATTTAACACAAAAACCTCCTCAGATTGACAATTAAAGAGACCCTTAAGGGTGCTGTAATGATTTCTGTAAGTGATTTTACTGATTCTTGCATCACGGAAGAGCAAGTTTAAAGATTGCAAAATGCTAAGTTACTTTAAAGTCTATTGTATTATTCTATGGTACAACTGTGTAAAGGCGAAGGACACCCCCCCCCCCCCCAAACCCCCCTTAGGAAAAGGTTATTGGAGCACAACTTCTGAATACAAGGTTTATATAAAAGAAAATGCCACAGCAAATCTGTAGAAACCTGTGTGTCTTAGTGTTAATATCATGGATACGGTTTATCAAAACTTTCACAAGCCTGGTACATTCAAGTGTAATCTTTTAATATTATCAACATGTCTCTTCTAATTAATTAAAAAATTTATCAGTTAAGCAGTGTCTCAACCTAAAGTAGGTAAAGAGTCTGAGTGAAATATTAAAATTAGGGGGATCTTACAAAAGACCTTCTAGCCTCAAATACCAGCATCCTATTAACCAAACATAAACTGTAGTAAACACCAATAAGAAAAACTTACAAGAGTTTGATTGGAAAAAAATGTAGATCATCCAACAAATATAATTTTCTCTCCATAATGAAGAATATGCTTCTGTTATATCTATACAATAATCAACTTATTATAACATATTTATGACTTAGATGTTCATAAGTTAGCTGGATTAATTTTTTGTTTTGTTTTACGCCTCTTAAGGTTTTGCATATTTTAAATATAGGGATGGAGCGAAAATTCAGCCACTGAAAAGTTTGGACCAAAAATGACAGAAAAGTGCATTTGCAGTCTTCGGCTGATATGTGTTTCACACCAAAAGCACACAGCCAAAATGTATGACGATGCAACCAACCGCACATCCAGCACGGGGGGGTGGGGGGGTGGGAAGAATAGAAAGCAAACAGCGCAGCCAGCACACAGAAAAGTTGTGAAGCAAGTGAAGAAAAAGATTAAAATTAGACGGCATTGACGGATTGTTAGTTGAGCATGCGAGGGGGGATGAGAGTTTTAATGCTGGACATCGGTCTCGCAGCGTGCTCAGATAAGTGGCTAAAGAAATTATGCCATAGAAATCCTGACATTACCATTAACATTCTGAATATGAACAAAATGCAACACAGAAAAGGAAACAGACGGTGAACATGAACACTCTGCCTGCGTCGGACGTGTTTAAAATGCAGGACGGTCATTCTGCCAAGGCAAATGGCATACAAAAACGTCAGGGGAAAATAATTAACTTTGATACTCTTTAATCGATTAATTGAAATGCTTTGAGTAAAAAGAAAAAAAGAAATTGTTTTTTAATAGGGTTAGAACATATAACAGCCAAAAATGATATGGCTGAAATATTTAATTATAAAGGGACAGGAAACAACATGGACAAGTAGCAAATCCATCTCTTTATTCCTTAAAAAAGTTTTGTTATTTTAAAATAAATATAATTTACATGCACTTAATAGAGAGTAATCGCATTTATTAATCATTGAGTAAAATAATTTTAGAGTAATTTGAAGCAAAATTGTAATGTGAAACAGAAAGGGTGTTCTGATCAATTTAGTCCCAGTTAAACCACTTTAATAGCGACAGGTTAATTTGAACAGAGAAAAGCACCAAGTGAAATGACTGACTCCATTTAACACCAGGACTCCCAGAATTCTGATCCTACTAGAACTCCAACTGGCAGTCAATTTGACGGGTGACATTTTTCCCAATGGAACGCAAGAGTAGTGATATTGACTGAAATGGTTCTGCTGTGTCATATAAACCCATTGTGAATATGTAAATGTAGACCTTAAAACAGGTCTAATATATATATATTTTTTAAAGGCTATATTATGTGCAATTATTATTTTTTGTCTAAATTTGAGTTAATAATAAATCAGTAAAATAAGTAAGAGTGTTTTACTCCCGCACACCACTTAGACATTGCCAAACTTTTATTGTACAGCTCTCATGACATTTCCATTTCTTAAAGTGCAGCAATAATCAAATGTAAACATTTTAGGAGGAAAAAATATGGTGCAAAAAAATGTATCGAAATGGTCAGTTTGATGCAGAATCTGTGACATGATTTAGAGTTTTCTCAACAGTTCAGCTGTCTGATGGCAGTGGAGAAGAAGCTGTTTCGGAATCTGCTGGAACTGCATTGAATGCTGTGAGGCCTCTTCCCAGAGGGCAGCAGTGAGAACAGTCCATGGTGGGGTCATTGATAATGTAAAATGGCATGTACTTATATAGCGCCTTTATTCAAGTTAGGAGACTTGACCAAAGCGCTTTACACTACATTCATTCACCCATTCACACACACACTCACACACTGATGGTGGCAAGCTACATTGTAGCCACAGCTGCCCTGGGGCTCACNGGCCCTCTGACCACCATCAGTAGACAATGCAGGTTAAGTGTCTTGCCCAAGGACACGACACTGAAGGTTGGAGTCGGGGCTTGAACCGTCAACCCTTCAATTTCAGGGCAAACTCGCCAACGCCACTGTCGCTGTAATGGGCTCTGGAAACGCCGCACTGGGCCCATAACATTATCAATGACCACCTTTTCACATTTATGACAAACATCCTAGAAGTGTTTTTTGTGCCACATTGATGCACCTGGCACTTTTGTCTTTGCCATGCCAAAGCTGGCTCTTTTGGGTCTTAAGGGTTGGTAACTTGCGGCTCTCTGGAGTGCATGTGGTTGACATACAACTGTTTTACCAGTTCAAGGATAAAAGCTCTGTGTGAGACAGTGACCTTCAAAAAGCTCCTGGACAAAACCAACGCGTTCATAGCTGCTGTGTCCAGGAGATTGTAAAAGAGCCACAGGCCACCTTTGCTTTGGATCTTTTACAGAATACTTTCTAATCCGATCCAACACATCCACGCCAACATATGTGCAATTATAGTAGACCATGGGCTCTGGTTTGGCTTTTGTACCGGCTGAGGTGTGGGCAGTACTATCCAAACCCTGAACAAAGTTTCCCCATTGTCTGATGGGTCACAGATACGTCTGCGTTTTGCAGGGGGTGGTTGATTATTGTCAGACTCTGTCAGAATCTGAGCCATTTCCTACCGACCAGTCGTCATCATAGGTCTCTCCATCTCCTCCCGAACCGCTATCATCAATATTTTGAAGCATTTCTAAAGCCTGCTAAGCTTTTACATTTCTTCTGAAAGCCATTTTTTCATATTAGCCAAAGAGTTCCAGAGTTTTCTAGGTAGAACGGTACCAAACACAATCATCCGTAGAATTTACGATGCATCTAATAAAGCTGTAAAGATGACGGCTATGAGATATCGAGTTAAATTTAACCATGTTTATTTTTTAGGTTTTTATTTTATTAAAAAAAAAAAAAAGTAAAAATGAAGGAAATACAGAAAGAGGAAAAGTCAGTTAACATGACCAAGGTAAGATTAATGTAAATAAGCTCTTTCACTTCAAAATCTCAGAACAGTCTAAATGACTGCCTTGTAAGTTCTAGTGCTGAAACAGGTTTTCTATTAAATCATCTTTTTCTTTCTTCACTTGAGGATGAAAATGGATAATTCAAAGGTCTTATATCATAAAATAGAGGTTCACTGTAGAGAACTTTTATATCCAATGTAACAATACAAGATTGAGGAGGAGACGATATACCCCCATTGACACAATAAAAGAACCAACAAAAGAAGAGATCAGAAAAACGGGCCAAATCAGACACAAACAAAAAGCTGAATTTTAATGGGAACCAACAACTGGCGTTCATTTTTACTGACTTTTTTTTTTTTTTGGACAAATATGAGTCAAAAACAAAGGGTAATTATTTCTGTTTGTTTTCATAAATCAATTAGGGGCAATACAACTGATTCCCCTATTATTAATGTCATTCCCAGAGTGGAAATGAATTGCGAGAGCCTCATTAACAAACTATGGGTCATGCAGTGAGACCAAAATAAAATTCCTGCCGTTAAACATCCAACAGCACCCAGGAGAATAGAAGATTGACTCCAAAGAGATGGAAATTACAGTCAATTCAGGAGCTGAAAAATTTTCAACACCGTTTCAGATTAGGAGCAGTAAGATGAGTTTGCATTTATCCTCTCCTCCATTTTCTGGACGGAATTCTTAAGACCCACTTTAATAATCTCCACAGCCAATGATCCCATCTTCATTTCTTTTCATCCAAACCTCTCTCAATCCACCACTGAATATCAATAAATTAATATTTCCTCTCCTTTCCATCCCTACTATCGCCTCCTTTCTGCTGACCGTAAACTCACTCTAGGACTGAATAATTATTTCCACCTTTGATTATATTGCTATTTGACACATTGCTGATCAAAAAGAAGAATGCAGGGTATTGCTGGTTTAGCATTAAAGCTTTCTTTATCAGCTGTCAAAGGATTATAAAGAGAAGTCCAGATAGTGAGATGTAAGGTCTATATATATTATATATTTTGTTAGGAATATATAATATTCCTAACAAACCGAAACACATGGTGAAAAAAAAAAGTTTATCAAATACCTTTAAATAAACAACCTACTGTTTTTATGGCTAAAATGCATTATGGTTTTCTTCAACTATACTTGCAACTCACATTTTTAAGCTATATCCAAGCAGAAATTAAGATTTCTATTTCTTATTCATTGCCTTGGTCACAATATCAACTTACAATATTTTAAATAAACAGCTACCTGCAGGTGTTGCAAATATTAGCATTAAAGAATGATATAAAACAATGACAAACCCACTTCTCTTGAGTGTACTATTAAGTTATTCATTTTTACATATGCCCAAAAGTAGACTGTCGTCTTCTACCATCTGCTGTGAAATTCTTTGTATTAAACTGAGATAAAATTTGCAGATCTGTATTTACTCACACTAGTTTCAACCAAGTACCTGAAAAGTAATTAGTCAGATTCAGCTTTGAACATCATGGACTTACCTCTCTACGCCGCGATGCCCAGCAGGTCTGTTTGATCTTCCACACAACAGCCGCCACCAGAAGTAACGACAGAAAGCAACTGTGATGACAGAAAAAAAGGGCACGATTAATAATGGAAAAACAATTGTCTTTAGTAATTTTTTTTCTTTTTTTTTGAGCTTGATAGTAGGATTTATAGCAGAACAAGCAGTAAGTATTAAAGATATTCAGTTGTATTAAATTTAGGAAGTTAAAGAATACATATTTCATAATATTTCAATTATTAATCGTAAATGTTATTGAAAACTAGAGCAGAAAGCAAGTCAAAGCAAACCTTACTCTGTAATATTTACTTGAAGTAGGTAGAAAAATGAAGGTAGAAGTATAATTTTGGCTCAGACTGAAATATTTTGGCCGATTACTTCGATTAATAACCCAACACTATGATCATTAGTCAAAGAAAAGTCCGCATGATACAAGCCTATCTGGGAGGGATAAATTGACTGATTGAGAGCTTCCACTTCATTATCTTTTTGACATGTAATGTAAAGATGATTATGCACTAAAGAGACTGAAAGAGCTGAAAAAAATCATGAACTTCAAGATTTTACATGAAAGTTCTCAAAGAATTTTCCACTTATATTGCCGTTAAAGCTCTTAAGGTAGTTTTAAAAAAAAAAAAAGCCAAAATATGGATTTCTTTTCTCTAAAGTCCAACAACCGCAAATGGGAGTCATTTATTATATAAAAGGATATCAGAAAGATACTGGGCTTGACAAAGAACTTGATGCATTTAATCAGATGCTACAGTAAGCCCTTCATGAAAAAAGTAGGAAAAAGTCTGCAGAGGACAAACTAGAAAAGGAGGAAAAAGCCGTATATTTCTGAGAAAATAGTGTTTTCTTAGTATTGCTTAATGTACAATTTTTAAATAAGCCGTTCAATGCTCTAAATGAGTTTTAGAGGTTTTAAAATGCTTATCTTTGTGTTTAAAGTATTTTACTGTAAATCTCTCCAGCATTTGCATATCAGGATAAAAAAAATAAATAAATAACACACAACTAATTTATCTAAATAGCTTAGGCTTGGCTCTTCACAAGCTTTTCTAATGTGTGATGACCAATAAGGTGCGTGCTTGAAGTAAAGCCGATAGGCTTTGTACCCCTGAAATACTAACTCATGCAAACACAGTACTTATTGGTGGCCGCAAAAAAGGTATAATGTATAATGTGCAGGTTTCTGTTGAGAGGTGTAGGGGGGCATGAGCTTTTCACTTCACCTCGCTCTTCAATAACAGCCATGCACATACTCATTTTTTTCACATAATAAAATGAGGCATAGTCAAGTGCATTTTTTTCACAACAGAAGCATTTTTACTGTCCTTATAATATTTGGGAGCTTTGGCCCACCACGCTTTTCTCTAATTCATTCTTTGAGTTCTGGTCAGGGTAGAGATTCAGATTACAAACCTAATGCTGTGGATAATGATAAAGGTTAAGAAATATGGCATTGTATAAGAGAAAGACAATAAAAACAAATTGATCAAAATCAGTAGTTGGATCATGCATAAAGATGCAGCATAACAAGCCCAGTTACAGATGAAAATACGCTCTGACCACTTGAGGCTTGATGAAAATCAACTGTAGTGAATGATCTAGAAGTCACTCGTGTTTAAAGACTCCAAATCACCTCAGGGGGTGAGGATCTGGTTATTTTTTTTCTTCTATAATTTTAAAGAAGTTTACCCCAACAAAGATGGTATTTTATATTCTATTTCCTCTCTGCCTGCATCTTCTCTATCCATCTATCATATATATATATACATATATCAATCATACATATTGTTTCAATTTGTGGGACACTGACTGAAATGAAAAATGGGCCTCAGTCCTGCAGAAATAGGGACATTTGGTCACATTTAAATTCCTTTTATTAAAGAGAAGCCCTTGCAATGTCAGTTTTTTTCATAATAAAGTTAAGAGGTTTCCAGATAGCAATGCTATACCCTCCAGTCTTATGTCTGCAGAAACCAGTGTCCCTTTTTAGTGATGTGCCAACCACTTAAGTAAAAAAAAAAAACGTCTCTCTGGAGGCAAACAGCCATCTTAACTATCATTGGCCAATTTGTTTGATATGTAAGCTTTAGATCGCCACGTGTTCCAGATGTGTTTGCTCGGATGTTTGAACACGGTGATAACCGTGAAGATCAGTAAACAGAGTGGAGACGGTTGTGACTGAAGTGCCTAAAAGACGGCCTGTGATTTTGAAGAGGCTTTAATACTTGTCTTGCTAAATTTGCAAATATAGCATACTATTTATTTTGTTAAATATGTAAAACAACAGCAGGTGTTTGATGTTCTAATACTCACATCATTTGGATGATTATTTCTAATTCCTACTAAATACCCTTAAAAAATGAATCTACGGTAGTAATGCTAATCAGCTGTTGACCTTTAAAAGGAAATTGGATCTCTTTAACACACATCTGCAACTACCTGACAGGGAAAAATGAAGCCTTTCAGGGTGCTCAACATAAAACCAAGGTCCTTCTTAAAATAATTCAGACATTCCTCCTGAGTTGTAGTGATTCTCTAGAATGTTATGCAATAATATTAGAGGAAAAGTGATATACTTGTTTTGTAGGTTGTGCATGCATCTTAAAATGTTTTGATTAAAAAGATAACACAATCTCATATTAGAAGAAATAAATTAAAGCATTGGAGAAGTTTTGATGTCCAGTCCTCCCTCTTTATCTCTCCTTCAAGGAGCTCTAAAAAACCCTGTGGGGCGATTTGACATTTTGTCATCAGGCTGATTATGTTTCCAGCAGGTTCAAGTCTCTTCAAATCTTTCCCCCACATACACAGACACACGCTGTCTCAACCTCCCCCCCAAAAAAACTCATTAGTTAATCAGTGCTTAGCTGTGTGTTTGTTTTTTTTCCATTCTTGGGTTTATGGGTCAGTGAGAACTAGACAACGTGGATACAGACAAAAGCTAAATGGAATATGATTTGTCTACCAAATGGGGGAAAAGCAAACAGTCTGTTTCATGTGGGGTATGATACTGCATAAAAGTGAAAAGGCAAAAAAGAAACCACCCATCTTAATAAAATAAAAAAACTGATCATTTTATATATATATATATATATATATATATATATATATATATATATATATATATATATATATATATTCAAAAAATGTACACATTTGTTTAAAAAGGTCAAAATGTTTTAGGTAACATGAGGTCTGCTGAACTTATGATATGTACATTCTTAAAATACTGAGGAAAGTAACTGCTAATCTGTTAGGTTAACTTGTGTCAATATATTTTTTTAGCCCTAAGGTCAATGTTGAATTTCTCGTGTTTTCAAAATTTTAAGTTTGCTTAATTTTTACAAAATAAGCTAAACTGTGTCGTTGAGGTTGAGTGATTAGATTGTTTCTACTACTACTACGTCACCGTTGTACCAAAGGCATTTTTTAACCATTGACCACAATTCAAATTGAGTTGAATAAATGCTATAAAAATAGGTTAATTGCTGTAAATTCATTTGTTTTTCTTTTTCATGCCCTACAGTAGAAATGCTGAGAGACTAATCATTTTCACATCATCTTTTCTTGTAACATATTTCTACCCATTTGTGTCAAGAAATAAAACAGGTGTTTACTTCTAAAATATCTTCCTATGGGTAAGTGCATCTACTCATTAATCCCCCCCAAAAAATACACAATTTGAATCTATGTTGCAGCCAACTATTGACGCTGAAAATGCATAAAGCTAACAACTTGCAAATAAATTGAAAAAATATAAACCTTATGTGCTTTTGTCCGATAAATAATGATCTACTAGTTGCTGCAGGTTCTAGGTGGTGAAGACTCTGGTCCATTCTGTTAGCGATCAAAGGTATGAGGATATTGCAATACTATTTTTTTTTATATAGTTGCATGTCTTGAACAGACTTTGGTTATTTTATCTCTTCTTTTTTTCCCTTTCCTCTAAGAAAGCTGAAGCTTGGGTATTATTTGAACTTGAAATCGATCAAATATTCCAAGCAAAACTCTAAGCGAACCAAGAGTTGGCGAAATAAGTCATGGAAGATATTAGAGCTACCATCCTATTCAGCTGCTTTCACCTTTTATGCTGGTTTCAGCATTAAAGCAACAGAACAAATAAACTAGAGACATTTACCAATGAAGAGTGGGCTGAAATCCTCCAAGACAGATGACAGAATTCTGGCAGTGAATCCTGTTTGCAGCAGGTTGTACCAAACAAAAGTGTGATTTACTGCTTAAGATGCCTGTAAAGGTTTGAACTACAGTAAAATCATTTCTACAAAAAGGAGAAAGCACTTCCAGTATTAACTGGGGTGGTAAATTCCTGTTGTTGGACTCATTCCAGTTCATATATTTTGCAAATATAAAATCTAAGCCTTAATTAAGTTAATTTTACTTCTTTAACACAAAGATTTGACCTAAGTTGAATTAACTTTATCTGATCAGAAGCTTTGTTGGATGCTTTTATTACTTTCAATTCAACCAGAATATTTAATGGAGTATTATTAACCAAGTATTTTACTAATACAATCATTTTGAAAATGATATTTAATTAATGATTAGTCATTTTAAGAATAAAAATAAATTAAAGCGGCTCATTCAGACCACTTTTCATTCCAATGCTTTGTCTCACAAGATTACAAGACTTGTGTATGTCCATTATGTGGATGTAGCATTAGCAGCTTTCCATGATTTGTTTACCATAATTTATTGGCTCCTTCTTACAATTTTACACACAAGCAGCAACATTACCAACTATCTGCAGGTGAGCCTATATTTGTTGGAATCACCCCTTTTGGTGGAACAGAGATGGGAATGCTGATAGCGAGACGGACTAAAGTTAGTACCCTTCCAGTATTCACATTAGTAAAACAGAAGGACCAAATTACGCTTTTTGGAGGGTGCGCTCTTATGAGTTTTTCTGGTTTACATAATGAGACCGCATACAAAAAAAACCAAGGCACTTTCACATTACAGATTTTCTGGCAGGTTTTACTTGAAGCCAAACACACATTTTAACATAAAAAAGTCCAATTTCCAGTAACTGACATCTTTAAGGGTGGTGCTAACTCAGTTTATAAACAACATCCTATTACAGAACAACTCAGGAATTTGTTATTTAGATGGATTTTCATAAATATTGAGACCAACTTGAGTTTTGATCAATTGAGACAGAGTGTAACATTCCTTTAATTAAGCAATAATTAATGTTTAGAACATAAAAACAAGAGAATCGTGTTCTTTAACTGGTGTGATGAGTGTTTGTTCATTTAGATTTAGGCAATAAATTAATTCTAAAGTGATAATAAAAGTTAAATAATATGAAGGTTCTTTTAACCTGTGTAATTGGCAGCGTAAATGACAAAAGTAGTCTCCTTTCTCAGTTTTCTATCCAAAGGTTTCATGATTTGGGCCATTCATGCTGTAATATGATCAGCTGGAGGCACAAGCTAAGTGACTGCATGACAGCTTCCCTGGAAACGTATTGTGGATTGGGCACTGATGGACAGGTGCCTCGGGCAAAGCTTGTCTATTATGCCCTTTGTGATGCCTACACACAGAATTTAGGAAAACCGGAACCATACACTTTTAAAAGAAAATAAGCGCATGAGGAAAAACTATACAAGGCTTGTGTCTTCTATGATAATAGCAGCAAACCAAATCAAATGATTTGGAGAATACAGGTAGGAAAAAAATAATGCAGGCAACAAATCAAACTTGTAGAGTAAACAAAAGCAGATATGCAGGAATTCTCACTGAATCATCTTTATGTACTCAGACCTTAATGCGCTTTTAAACAGCTCGACTGACTCATTAAAAACATTAAAATAATGAAAGACTTCAGTCACAGCTCTGAGCAGGAAAAAAAAATCCTGAAGAGCCCTCATATCTTGATCACCCACACCTTCTCTCGAGATGCCACTTACAAAGAATTATGCACCTTCTTAAACTGTTACTGGTAGTTAATTTGCCACTTTAAAACAAGGAAAATTGTATATACTTAGTTAAGAGGGACTCAAATAACTCAATAAGTAATAAGAAGCATAGGAAGAGAAGGAAGAGGTGGATAATAGTCATACTTGACCGATTTAGAGCATTAAAAGTATAGCTTATATATAAAAATAAAGGGACTTTTTCTTGGTCTCTATACAGTTTGTTTTTAATGGAGCATGAAAGTTTGGACTCCGGTCACCAGGTTTACTGATATTCCTTATCTTTGCTGACTTAAGTGTTAAAAAGAAATCCAAACGAAGGACATAAGATGAAGTATTAGTAAAGCTTAAACTCGAAATACCCTTTCTTTGTAACTACCATTGAGGAAACCCGGGGCACAGTTTATTTATTGCTTAAATTGTGATGTATAAACAAAATAAATTACAGTGAATCTTACAGCAGGACGATGATCTTTGTCTCCCACAAAACCGCGAGGTGTTAGTAACTGCTAAAGTAGCGCATCCGTTTAATAAAACAGTAGTAGGGTTTGGGCAAATGAGATGAATATCGTCAGCATGCACTGTCACTATGGTAACTGCCACGCACAAGCTGCCGACGCCATTTTGATTTTGTTAGCCACTGGAAGAGGAGCACATGGAGCTACAAATGTACTGTAGGTGGAGAGCAATTTAAGTTGTAGATGACTGAGAAAAACATGCATTTTCCAGAGAAAATATCTCAATGTCAACTCAGCGAGCTACACACATCCAACCAAAGTTTATTTATTTAACTCCATTGGTACCGTTTAGTCAATTTCCAGCAGTTGAATCAACATTCATTATACTATTGATATGTTAGCAACATCTTCGGCTGAAAATGAAACCAATATTTGGCGTTGATTTTTCGGTGTTGAATGTTGAACCCACTGAAGTCATCCACAGAAATAAAATAAAACATCAGGTTTGTTTTCAAAATAATAACTTTTTGTGGTAACTTTTAAAGCCTTCAAGAGTCACCATGGTCCTTCAAAAAGCTACAGAATGCCCAATTTCTATTCAATGTTGTCGACTCCTATATTTATATATTTTATATAGTAGCTAAAGTTTGCATATATTGTCTCCTTTATTTAACATGTATACTCTTCAATATCTAGTTTGACTATTTTCTACTAATTTAATGTTGAAATGGCATATTGTTTTCATTTCTATCAGTTTAGGATCTGACTGAGTTGATATTCTTAACTAAAGGGAAACAGAATAGGGAAGAAAACGTTGAGTGAAACAGAGTTCATCTTTGGGCCAAGCAGCAAGAGGAGCAGTGAGGAGATAGAGGGAGAGCCGGTACTAGAAAAGGAAGATACGGCACCAGTCAACTGTATATGTTTAAAAGTCAGATGTTTAATGCATGATAATTGAAGTATTGTGTAAGATTATAACAGAAATATGTTCAAACGCTTTCCTTAACAAGAGTGAACAGATTAGGCACCATCTTCAACATAATAGTGTAATGGGGCTTCGGTGTCTATCTAAAATACAGAAGTAAATTTGAAGCAACTCATTTCAGTTATAATGGAATGGCTTTTGTGACACAATACCTGTAGATAGAAGCTTCAAAAGAAAGATGATATAAAATAAAGTTTACAATGTCTGATATATTTGGCATGGGAGAAGAGGAAGAGAGAAATGCATCACCTAGCATATTCAAAAGTCAGAATCATGTTGTTTTTGCTCCTTAAAATTGGCCAGATTTAAATGATGGAATTAAAATGTTTCTGGTAAGCCTGCCCCCTGACCAGCTACAAAGTTCTGACCCTTGACCTCTGTATTTTTTGGACCCTGCGTACAGCCCTGCCTGTGGCATTGCGTAGGTGTAATAGAAGCCCAGATCTCTTTCACGTCATCTGCTTTGTTAAGTCTGGTGACTATCATCCTCCTCTTGGCAACAGCCCATAGATTTTCTATGGGGTTGAAGTCAGGGGAATTTGCTGGCCAATTAAGAGCAGGAGCACCTTTAGGCTTGAGCCAGCTATGGCGACCTGTGGAAGTGTGGGCAGCAGCCCAGTCCAAATAGAAACAGCATCTCAATAGAGCTTGACAGTACAATAAAACCTAGAGTCCTCTAGAGTTTCCTGATAGATGGCTTCAGTAACTGTAGACTATAGTCTTTTTTCATTTTGTATTATTATATGGACTTAATGGTTCTCTTTTTCATGCATTTACAGTTTGTTCTGCTTAAGATCAACCAAAAAAATGCACTGCAGGGGGAGATTAGAGTCTCTTTGCTAGAACCTGACACCATAAATATGTCTTGCATTTCACTGTCCCTGTACAAATAAAATCTTCTTTAAATTTTTTTTTTACAAAACTCAAATTTCCCATGGGTTTACCCTTTCTGTACATCGTAATCATCAAAACTACAAGAAATAAAGGCTTGCAATATATAACTGTAGGCGTAGTGATTCTATACCAGTTTCACCTTCTGAGATGACTGGAATACATGTACGCGGTATTCTCATTTTTCCATTGTACCTGTATTTAAGTCGAAATAGTAAAGATTAGCTGAGAAAGTTCACTTTATTTGTACATATATGGAGTAAAAAAGTGGTTCTATTGAACTGTAATGGTGATGTGTTATCTTTCCCAACAATACCAAAAGCAAAAAGTGAAAAAGAGTGAACCAAACAGTGCTCTTACCTGAAAAAGGTCACAAAGAATTGGACGAGGTCCATAATACTGTTGTGTTGGGAGAAGGCAATCTATTGGAGAAAAAAGGACACACGATTCAGTATTTGATTATGAACAAAATCTGTTGATATGAGGGAAGGTTATTATAAAACATAGAAACCTCTCTCTCCCTCTCTCTGTATGCATACATTCATATATATATTTCAACCATTATATTTCCATTACAATAAACGTGCCTTTGGGCATCTTGAAAACTGTGCCTGAGTTGAAATGTGACATTGTGAGGAGGTTAATGTGACATGACGTTCACAGGTCAAGTCAGTGCTGAGAACCAAGTAGGCCCGCTAAAGGTCACTGATTCACTTGGAAGACTTGTTATTAAAACCCACGTCAAAGAAAAAAAAAAAAGTAGGTTTGATGTAATAGTGTGGCTAAAGACAAGAACAAGGTAGAAGTTTCTGGCAGTATACATCAAAGTTCATTTGATCAGCAGGATGGATGTGAGGTGAAGGGAGGGCCTGACCTGACCTGCAGCCAACCAACTGCATTCAGCTCAGGCCAAGAAAGGCTATTAAAATGACATGCTTTTTGGACTTTTTCTTTTCTTTTCTTTACTTTTTTTTTTTTTAAACAAAACAAAAAAATAATGTTATTATAATATTGTTTTGTAATAGAAATAAAAAGCTATAAATAAACACAGCTGACATAATCAGACAGGTTAAAAAGTCAGGAGTCACACAGTGGGTCATGATTTTAGAATTTGCTGATGTGTGTCAAAGAAGCTCTACAAACAAGTGTGACAGGTCATATTTTTAACTGAAAAGACAGGAGCAAAGTACAGTTAGGTTCAAACATTTCTGGACACTGCCATTTATTTTGCCTTTGGGGTTATTGTTTCCATTTACAAAAATGTTTTAATTATATCACACTTATATAAAGGATATGAGCAGAATTGTCAGTGTCTAAGTGTTAACGAAGGAAGGAAGGAAGGAAGGAAGGAAGGAAGGAAGGAAGGAAGGAAGGAAGGAAGGAAGGAAGGAAGGAAGCAAGGAAGCAAGGAAGCAAGTGTGGAAGGAAGGAAAGAAGCAAGCAAGTGTGGAAGGAAGGAAGCAAGAAAGCAAGTGTGGAAGGAAGGAAGTGTGGAAGCAAGTGTGGAAGGAAGGAAGCAAGGAAGTGTGGAAGCAAGTGTGGAAGGAAGGAAACAAGGATGCAAGCACGTGTGGAAGGAAGGAAGCAAGCAAGTGTGGAAGCAAGGAAGGAAGGAAGCAAGTGTGCAAGGAAGCAAGCAAGGAAGGAATCAAGGATGCAAGCAAGGAAGAAATCAAGGATGCAAGCAAGTGTAAAAGCAAGTGTGGAAGGAAGTAAGGAAGGAAGCAATGATGCAAGCAAGTGTAAAAGCAAGTGTGGAAGAAAGCAAGGAAGGAAGCAATGATGCAAGCAAGTGTGGAAGAAAGCAAGGAAGGAAGCAAGGATGCAAGAAAGTGTAAAAGCAATTGTGGAAGGAAGCAAGGAAGGAAGCAAGGATGCAAGCAAGGAAGCAAGCAAGTGTGGAAGGAAGGAAGCAAGCAAGGAAGCAAGCAAGTGTGGAAGGAAGGAAGCAAGCAAGTGTGGAAGGAAGCAAGGAAGGAAGCAAGTGTGGAAGGAAGCAAGGAAGGAATCAAGGAAGGAAGGGCATTTACAAGCCTTTCTGTGCATAAAGCTAAGGCTAGAACCTTCTAGTCTTTGTTTCAATGAAAACAAGAGGCAGAAAGTTATTTTCTATTGTAAATATATACACAGATATTACAATGATAGGAATCAAATCCTATATGATATATTTGTCATTTTAAGAGTAATAGTTATAGCTCATTGATGATTTATGTATTGTTGCCTGGGAGGCAACACATGCAGTGAATAATGAGTCAGGAATATGGTTCATCTTCATTAAAGGAGAGATTACAGACAGCCCTGGCAGCTAAATCATATATGATAGGCCACATCATGGTGACAAGTCATTATCTACCACAGATGCTTTGAAGCCATTCTGTCCTGAAAGCATTTAGAACCACAAAAACAATGTCATCTGCAGCTGTATTGAGCCTCTGATTGGCAACGTGTAGTGCTGGGTAATGGAGCACCATTTCTGCTTTTAGACGTGGACCATTTGCGTCACATTTGTTGCTCTGAATGTCAATTTAAAAAGTGGACGGTACAGAATGGCTAAAAGGAAAAGTAGAGGTTTCCATGGGTTATTTAAACAGAAAACATTTACCAGCAAACATAATGGCATTGCTCATTTACATTGTCCATAATAAAAATAAAAAAAAACAATGGCTAAATATTTTGAGTTTTTAGCATTAGTGGTGAGGGAGCAGGGTGATATTTAGGTTAAGAGTCTGTATTGTGCCAAACTCTTCTTCAACAACTCCATTACCCTCTTACACTTTGGTCACCTTTGACTTTTCTCTTCGTTATTAACAAGAAAATGAGAGCCGCTGATCTGAAATACGATGGTCACTGACACGGCTAACATGAAAAGTACAAATGATTGGCTGGCTTTTTAATAAGTGGGACACTTTTTGTTTCGTGCTTATAAAACTTGCCTTCCACATGATGTGAACTCAAAGCCACAAATGCAGGTTAATTTAATTTCGATTTGTTCATTTCTAACCACTGATTGTCCATTATAAAAACCTTTTTTTTTTTTGAGAACATGGCCCAAAGCACAAAGGTCTAACATTTATTTCAGTGCAAAATATCTTTTTTATGCTCCATTTCTCAAATCTCACCTCCCTATTTTTATTTTTGATGGATGGATGGATGGATGGATGGATGGATGGATGGATGGATGGATGGATGGAT